AGCTTTCGGCTGTATGCATTCAGTTAATCCTGAAGAAGTCTGGATCTCGACTGTGTGCATTCAGATGAGCCTGAAGAAGGCTGCCGTTTGTTTGTGTGCATTCAGTTGAACCCGAAGAAGGCTGTAGTTTGGCTGTATGTGCTTGGTTGAGTCTGAAGAAGGCTCCATCTCGGGTTTTTGCATTCACTTGAGTCCGAAGAAGGCTGTAAGTCCCAGCTGATATTTTTTATTTGATGTCAAACTAAAAACTACACAAACGCAGAGATTGAGCTTCGGAATGTAACGTTAAAACTCTCAAGCTTACTTCTGAAACTCTAGAGGGGCGTTGGTTGTTTAATTTGTTTAGAGCAAAGCCACACTGGGCTATCCGCTGTGTCTACCGCGGGGAATCGAACCCTGGATTTTAACGTTGTAAGTCCGTAGACTTACCGCTCATCTACCGGGGGACATCTTACACATGAATATATATAAAAAGACTGAGTTTTCTTTGTAGCCTTCTTTCTTCTCAATTCTTTAACACTTTATGAAACTGGAAGAATATACCATATTTGAAACTATTTTTTAAAGACATCAGGCAGCGAAATAAACAGGAATGCGAAAGAGGCTATAAGCTGTTACTTAGAATTACAAAGTATATAAAAATATACAAGGGGAAATACCTTTTAATTTCAAAATAATAATAGTCTGTGTATTTTACAAACAAACATTTCTAAGAATTACATTATAATTTAATCTCTAAATAATCTTATAAAGCTTTAATTCAAATTCAACAGAGAATAATGAACAAACAAAAAGATTTGTATTCCAAAAATCATAACGAATAAAAGATCAGTTGTATAATAGCCACGCAAAGAAAGGGTAACTTATCGCATTTATGAAAGAAAATATGATTTTAACATACTCGATAATGTCGGCGAATTTATCATTCAGTAGTATAACAAGTAATAAAAAACATTTTATAAATATATGACTTTAACATACTCGATAATATCGGCGAATTTATTAATCAGTAGTATAACAAGTAATAAAAAAAACATTTTATAAATATAAAATGATTTAGGAATGGCAGTGTCAAAAAGAATGCAAACTAGAAAGAGGGATGATACAGCTATACGTAGATCATCCCTACATGACTTTCAATATTAAAATTTAATGCTACACTATAAAATGCACGAGTACAAATGATCACGAGATCTGTCAATTCGACTGACCTCGTAGCGATAGCCTGTGATAATCAAGACATGTTTTGACTCAACGTGGTTTTCCTTGTACGTAAGTCCTAGGCTCTTAGTTACATTACATTGATGCCTGCCCTGATATGACCATGATATTATGATAAACAAACTGTGTATCAACAGTCAGGAATACATAACTTCCAAATGCAGTATTATTAAAGTCAAGTATGCATTTTACAGTGTAACATTGAATTGTAATATTGAAAGTCATGTAGAGATGATCTATGTATAGCTGTATCATCCTTATATTCTTGCTTATATTACTTTTGGCACTGCTATTCATACATCATTTTACATTTACAAAATGTTTTTATTACTTACTATACTACTGACGTTTTTTCCCCTGACCGAAAGTTAGTGTCTTATATGAATGTGTAGTAATAAAATTTAATATGTGTTCTGATTTTTTCACCCTTCATTTCATACATAATATAGGGGTTGTCTCCCTAAAGACACCGACTGTATAGTGTACAAAGCATTGAGTATTTTAAATGTTTCAGTCATCTAATGTTCATTTATTATTGGTTGGTAATTCCTGTTTCACCTTGTAATTAGTTTTAAGAGGAACACCAGATTTCTGTAAAAAAGCTAATTTTAAGGGGGGAATGATAACATCGTTAACGCTAGAATTATGATTTTTTAAAATTACTACTAGTTATTACGATGACATCTTGCACTGCTCAGAAACACAGAGTAGACTTAGGTTCAAACTGACGTTAGTGATAAAGTAGTTGTATAGTTATCTCAACTGAAACAAGAAGAAGAAAGATGAACAATCTGGTGGGTTGGTCACTTTCTGGTTTGGTATCTTAGCGATGGTTTCTTGCCTTGTTGTGTAGAGAAATAAATGAAAATGAGTGATAATCATATTTTAAAGTAAAACTTTCTGTCATTGTTGATTTTGTAGCGTGCATATTTGTATTATACCTATTGAGTACCTTGACCATCCCTACGTACAGAGTCTATCGACTCTATAGTATCATCATACAGATAAAAGTTAACTTGTGGATGGAAGATAAAGATTATTGGCTTTAGTGAGCTCGATGTCCACTGGTGGGACAGCGCTAACGTTACGGAATTACAACGCTAAAGTCCGGGGTTCGATTCCCCGCGACGGACACTGCAAATAGCTCAATGAACCTTTGCTCAAAACACAAACAATTGAGCTAGATAAATGATATAGTTTAGATAAAAAAAATATTAAAATTATTTAATCGTTAACAGAGTTTGACAATGTTTATCAAGATCAACATTTAAAATAACAAGCAAGTGAATAAGAGGATTTAACTTTTCAAGGCTAAAAATATATATTTGACCATTATTTTAGTTTTAATCTTATAAATTGAAAAAACTTGAAACATGAGATTTAAAAAATATAATTTATGCAATATTGTTTTTTTTCCCTGATCTCTTAGAATTAACTGATAAATTTTTTTCCTGTTTAAATCATTGTATTGTGAAAAGGGAATATCATTCTAACTGATCAATAGCCCTGAAAAATAATAAGCATATTGTACAGAGAAAGTATGGTATGTTCTAAGGTAACACAATTCTAAGTCACAAACGAAAGACGTTTCATTGATAACTTAGGAATAACTTCAATCAACTAACCTGCTAGGCCCGGCATGGCCAGGTGGATAAGGCGGTCGACTCGCAATCTGAGGGTCGCGGGTTCGAATCCCCGTCACACCAAACATGCTCGCCCTTTCAGCCGTGGGGGCGTTATAATGTGACGGTCAATCCCACTATTCGTTGGTAAAAGAGTAGCCCAGAGTTGGCGGTGGGTGGTGATGACTAGCTGTCTTCCCTGTAGTCTTACACTGCTAAATTAGGGACGGCTAGCGCAGATAGCCCTCGTGTAGCTTGGCGCGAAATTCAAAAACAAACAAACAAACTAACCTGCCCGAACCTCGTGAGATAGAAATTACAGACGAAAATGTCAATAACTGATAAATTAATGCATTCTAATCATTACGAGATTTTGTTTTTACCACAGGGCATACTCCTGGTTAGCCACGTGTGTTAAATTTGTTAACTTGTGTTCTGGGTTGATTTTTATTTCTAATACATATATGCCCCCTCCAGCGTCTCATCGGTAAGACTGTAGGCATATAACGCTAAAAACCTGGTTCGATGCTTGTGATGGACACATTGTGTAGCATTATGTTTAACAATAAACAAAGAAACCTGACATATGTAAGCATTTTTTTATCATAAGTTATTGGTAAATCTTCGTTTTTAATTCTTACACGAACTCTATGAGTAAAAACTATTAGAAACATATATTCTGGAGTTACATGTAAACAACAACAACAAATTGATGCAGAAAAATATGTTTAGTCAAACCTTAGTTGTCTAAATAGAAAAAACTTTGATGAAATAATGAGTACACAGAAATTGTAAAGAGAAGATTTACTATTTGTAAGTTTTTTTTTACTCCAACTAAATGGAGACGCAATTACTCTGAATAACACTTTTCTGCATTTATTATTTATTTTGCTTTTTTACAGATATCTGTATAAAATGTTTTTGGAACAACTGTATCACCATTTTTGAATATATGATATTTTTATTTTGGTTTAGGTGGATTAGGTTTCAAATGATATATATATGTGTGTGTGTGTGTATATTACTGAATAAAATGAATAGATAGATACATTGATGTGAATTAATACGCAAGTATATGTAAAATTATAGATTGGGAGATGTCTTGGTAGATAAATAAATATATAGAAAAATAAGTCAACAGACAGATATAGGTAGACCCTAATGAACTATGTAGACGAAACAGACAAATCGCTCTGCAGATTGAGAGGCAAACAAATAACTATAGACCGATAAAAATTATGTTTCAAAATTTCGTGCGAAGCTAGACAAAGGCTAACTGCGATATAGTAGTCCCTAATATTAAACTAATAAACTAGAGGGACTCCGCGAATAGTGGGAATTGACTATCAGGTTTATTGCGCATCCACAACCCATAAGAATGCGGAGCACGTTTTTGCGGCGAAGGGTTGCGGACTATAAGCCCTTGGATTTACAGTTTTGACATGCAAACTATTAGGCCATGCCCGACCCTCAGTTGTAAGAGAGAGAGACAAGAATACGAAATTGGAATGTTAACAAATATCTTGTTAAAAGAAAGTCAGGAAAAGAGATTTATCAAAACTCGTATTTTAAAGTGACACTAGGTAGCTTTTGTGAAGAGTAAGATTTGAGGCAAGGTCAACCAGAAGGAGTCGAATACCTGAAGTCAAGAAGATATCTACTTCGACCTAGATAGATTATTATCAATGTCATCCTTGTTCGTTCGGCTGATGCTCTCGACCAATGATTGCAGCTGGCACATGTTTAACTTTCTATACTTATTCCTAAATCACGACCAAATAAGATAAAAAAGGAAGATCGATTCTTTCGTCACGTAGCTTGTGATGTTATAAAAACAATAAGGATGAGTATAAAAGTTGAGAAAATCAATCAGTTTCCCCATCCATCTTGAGATCAAGTTGGGAGAAGCACCTGATTCACAGACAACAACCATGAAGTTTGTAAGTATTGGTTTTGTTACTTTGTCACTAAAGGAACATCATAATTATTTTCAACAAAGTGAAACTTTAATTTGTTACAAGAAAATGTTCACATTTATCGAAAATTATTAGTAGGGAGTGGCAATTAAATTTTTCATTTTCTGATCTGCCCATAAAGATACTTTTAAAAAGATAGCATAGAATTCAATGTCAATCTGGTTACAATGTCTAAATGTCCCTGAATTTCATCTTTCATAGCCGCAAAAGATGTCTAACTGTCCCCAAATATCATTTTCCATAGCCACAGAAGATGTCTAACTGTCCCCAAATATCATTTTTCATAGCCACAGAAGATGTCTAACTGTCCCCAAATATCATTTTTCATAGCCACAGAATATGTCTAATTGTCCCTAAATATTATATTTCATAGCCACGGATAACTGTCCCTGAATATAATCTTTTATAGTCCCAGAAGATGTTTAACTGTCCTTAAATATTATATTTCATAGCCACAGAAGATGTCTGTCCCTAAATATCATCTTTTATAGTCCCAGAATATGTCTAACTGTCCCTGAATATCATCTTTCATAACCACGGAAGATGTCTAACTGTCCCTGAATATCACCTTGCATAGCCGCAAAAGATGTCTAACTGTCCCTGAATATAATCTTTCATGGCCACAGAAGGTGTCTAACTGTCCCTGAATATCATCTTTCATGGCCACAGAAGATGTCTAACTGTCCCTAAATATTATATTTCATAGCCACAGAAGATGTCTAACTGTCCCTAAATATAATTTTTATAGTCTCAGAAGATGTCTAACTGTCCCCGAATATAATCTTTCATAGCCACAAATAATGTCTAACAGTCTCCGAATATCATATTTCACAGCCACAGAAAAGATATGCTATCATTCTGAAATGTGCAGAAAGCTAGTGATTTTCTTTGAATTGTTCCAATTCACAGCTCACTATTTGAAGGTTCTTCTTCCCAAATTACTTACAGTCTGAAGAGTAATTTGAAGGATGTGGGCATATTTGATAACATTACATGTAGAAGCACGTAACATTACATACAGATATACAGTGTTTGCTTGGCAATAAAGTTAGAAAAAAGTGTCTTTACTCTCAAGATAAAAACAGTAAAAACTTTTACTTCAACCAACGTTTCGTCATTGAGCTTCATCAGCCCTGATAAAGCCACAATAGCAAAACTTCGACTGAAATAAAAAGGTGTATTATTATTACTATCTAGAAAGTCAAAATTTTGTTTCCTGACATTATTGCCAAAATGTCTAAATCCCTCCGGTACGCACTACAAGTTTTATTTGTGTGTATGTAGTATGGAAAGTGAAAATCGTTTTATTGAAGCATAGAAACTGGTTGATTTGTAGTCAAACACTGATAAGTATAAGATCATTCGATGTTATACGAAGATGCTGGTGCTTGTAAAAATAACGTTTTCTCTCTCTCCCTCGAATCTTTCTACAGCTTTTCGTTTTGCCTTTGTTTTTTGCTGCCTCCATCGCAGAGATGTTACTGAACTTCGACCCAGAGAAGGGTACCTTCATGTACGCCACTGGAGACGAAGGTAAACACACACGAGATGAGACCCGGGAATCAGACGGCTCAGTGACTGGCATGTACAGTTATATGGATCCTAATGGCAACCTCCGTGAAGTCCGCTACCGAGCTGGAACCAAGGGTTTCCAACCCGAAGGCGACATCAGCGTGGACAAGAAGACTTCCGTGGAAGCCGCTAGGCTGGCTGCCATGGCCCCTAAAGCCCCTAAGATGCCAGCAGTCCCAGAAACTCCCAAGGTTGTTGAAACTCCCATTGTTCCAAAAGTTGCTGAAGTGCCAGACATGCTGTTCAACTTCGACCCAGAGAAGGGTACCTTCATGTACGCCACTGGAGACGAAGGTAAACACACACGAGATGAGACCCGGGAATCAGACGGCTCAGTGACTGGCATGTACAGTTATATGGATCCTAACGGCAACCTCCGTGAAGTCCGCTACCGAGCTGGAACCAAGGGTTTCCAACCCGAAGGCGACATCAGCGTGGACAAGAAGACTTCTGAGGAAGCCGCTAGAATTGCTGCAATGGCTCCAAAGGCTCCTGAGGTTCCCAAAGTACCTTCTGTTCCTGAGGCTCCTGTGTCAGCTGAAATTCCCGATGCTTACAAAATCCCATTCTTGCCTTATTCCCCTTTCTTCCCACGTCCCTTTGCTCCTCATTACAATCCCTTGTTAAACCACTTTTCTCTGCCCCTGGTTTACAACCGTCTGCTTACTCCTCAATTCAAACTAGCCTAAAAGTAATAATTTGCCAAATGACAGAACGACTCAAAATATTGCATTTCATTAAGTAATGGAGACTTTCTGGTGTATTTACGTGTTGTTAAGCCTTGTTCAGAGTTTGTAATTCTCCTTATTCGTGACATAGTAGATAAACCGACCGTCACGGCCCTACTAAATTAACATGTTGAACGACTGCATCATCCTAAGTCAAATGATGATGTTTCAATTTTAACTTCTCCTCTTCATATCTGTATCTTTTATCAAGTATGAGAACATCATTGTGTTATTTGTTTCACAAAAGAAAAGACAGTTTTTGATACATCAAACTTGCTGCTCTCCTTTGATATAATTCCTACTTCTTATGTAATTCTAGCTAGATGCTTATTGAAAAATAGAATACAAATCTTGTTTATACTTTGGTCTGCTTGTTTTCTTTTATTTATTAACTTACACTTACTCTCTAGGAGTCCATGTTAAACGCTACATTTCACTTTCACCAGACGTATATGTTTACTCTGCAGCCTATCACAACCCCAGTTTCAGAGTACCTTTATACTGAAAAAATAATATTTCTTCTGACGTGCATATCCCCCTCCCAAGAAATACTAACTGTTACTGTTCGCATGCACAAATTAAATATTATTGTTAATCTGGTACTGTTAGAATTCACGTAATAAATGCCATTGTTAATCTGGCACTGTTAGAGTACACGAAATAAAGGCTATTGTTAATCTGGCACTGTTAAAGTACACGAAATAAAGTCTATTATTAATCCGGCACTGTTAGAGTACACGAAATAAAGGCTATTGTTAATCTGGCACTGTTAAAGTACACGAAATAAAGTCTATTATTAATCTGGCACTGTTAGAGTACACGAAATAAAGGCTATTGTTAATCTGGCACTGTTAGAGTACACGAAATAAAGGCTATTGTTAATCTGGCACTGTTAGAGTACACGAAATAAAGTCTATTATTAATCTGGCACTGTTAGAGTACACGAAATAAAGTCTATTATTAATCTGGCACTGTTAGAATACACGAAATAAATACTAGTGCTAAACCATAGAAGTCAGTACAAGATCCTCAGTAAAGATTAATACAATAACAAAGGACAGGAATCCAAATCAATAAATAAAGATATGTATATTTGTTTGTTTGAAGTTAAGCACAAAGCTACAAAACGGGTTATCTGTGATCTGCCTACCACGGGTATCGAAACCCGATTTCTAGCATTGTAAGTCTGCAGATATACATGAAGATATATATAGCCACAAACCATAACTAAAAGCGTTCATATCTAAACTACATTTCTGTTCACTTTCCCCATCGTGTGGTATTTTACTAAATTCTACAAATTATGACTTAAACATTCGATGTTGTGATGTAATTGGCTAGTTCAAGTTTGTGCAATAAAATTGAATAATCAATAGTTTACTTTGTAGAGAGAGAGAGAAGGTCGAATAATAAAAACAAGCTGTTACAAAAAAGTAGAAAGTTCGTACCTATTTTTGTTAAATACGTATTCATATAGTTACATAAGCTGTTGCAGGGCCCGGCATGGCCAGGTGGTTAGGGTCGCGGGTTCGAATCCCTGTCAAACCAAAAAAAAAACATGCTCGCCCTTTCAGGCGTGTGACGGTCAATCCCACTATTCGTTGGTAAAAGAGTAGCCCAAGAGTTGGCGGTGGTTGGTATTGACCAGCTGCCTTCCCTTTAGTCTTACACTGCTAAATTAGGGACGGCTAGCGCAGATAGCCCTAGTGTAGCTTTGCGCGTAATTCAAAAACAAACAAACAAACAAGCTGTTACATATACAGTTGTTGAATTAGGAGAATATTTAATCAAACTTAATACTACTTTTCTTTTGCAAATACAATAATTTTCAGCAAATCATGGCGCACTCCTCCATATTCTGAAAGACAGATTTTGTAGGAAGCATAATAATTACATTTCATTAAAAACAAGGATTAGTGCACAGACTCTAATCGTGGCACCGAATTCTTAAAAAAAGGACTCATTTAAGAACAAGCAGAGACTGTAAAACCACTGAGTTTTGCATTGACTTCTTTAAACAAAAATAACTTCTTTACAAATGAGAAAAGACTGCACAATGCTTTAGCCTTGTGGCGGCTGCTTTAAAAAACAACAACAACAAACAAATAGTGCAAATAAGATGGCATTACACAAACTCTAAGTCTTCCAACGACTTCTTTAAAAATATCAATCTATTATAAATACGAGTTGTTTGTTTGTAATGAAGCACAAAGCTACACAATGGGCTATCTACGCTCTGCCCACCACGGGTATCGAAATCCGATTTCTAGCTTTGTAAGTCCGCAGACGTACCGCTGTGCTACTGGGGGTGGGGGCGGGAATACAGCTAAGTTCTTGAAATAAACACAAGTAGAGGGATGGTTCAAACTATGGCACGAAATGTTCGTCAAAAATGTTTCTCTCTTCCACATTACTTTAAAACATTTTATTTTAATATTTTAACTAAGCCGCCATAACTGTAATTACTTATTTATAAAAGAGGAACAAGTTGATTGGTTATTCCTTGCTTCCGACCAAAATAATCCCATATGTTTCGTATATACACACAGACAGAGATTTGAAACGAAGTTCTCCCTATTTGTCACAACTTAGTTTCACTGTAAACATCCTGTGTATTAAAAGACAAGTAAAAATATTAAACCGAATTACCAGGAAAATTAATGTAAATAATTATACTCACTATCTTCTGCTTGATATTTGTAACTTCTGGAAAGAATGTGCGTGATGTTAAGCCTAGTCAACTTGCTCGAGAAGGGTCAACGTACTACTTGCTTGATAATTTCGTTCCACCATTGCCCGCTCCCCCCATCCCTTCTCCATACTTCCCTCTAAACCTGGCGTGAACAACTTTTATTCGACAATAACTTCTAGAGAATGAACGTTCGAAAATTTAGTAGTTTTTAGGGTAGTATTCCATACACAAGGAGTATATATTTTTTGTTTGTTATCCTAGCGCACGGAAGACGTTTAGGAAAAGTAAAAAAAGTTTCAAAAGGACACTTTCTTTCGAAAAAAAGCAAAATTGAATAGTTATTTATTTGTCTTTTTAAGTAACAAATGCAAAACTGCACGTGATACTGATTCTTCCAGCTATTAGAGGGATGTGAGGCTTGGTAATAGTTATTGTAAGTTGTTCTTTTAATATTGTATTTTTTTGCTTTGATTGAGACAAAATGGCATTTCACTGTTTCAGATATTTTACCTAATTTTCAACTGTTCCTTACAGCTTTATATGCCCTGGTGGCTCAGCGAGGCTGGAACCCTCTGGTGGACACATTACATATATTCCACTGAGCAGTTCTATGCTTAAAAAACAAAACAATTTTACGGCCTTATGTTTACATCAAGGGTATATTACAGATGTCTTATAAGATATTTATATTAAAAAAATCTAACTTAGCTTGAATTTTATTCTCATTTAAGTTTAGTGTCGTAAGAAAAGTAATGCGCCACTGAAGTAGCAATCTTACAGCCAGTCTGTCAGTGGTGTATCATTTCCAGAGTAAACTATGTTTTAAAAAATAAATGACTGTCCCATTCAAGTCTTTTAGTTTAGATATTCAGAAAAGGATTACAGGAGAATGCGTTCTATGTATTTTTTAGCGCAAAGCTACACAAGGGGTTATTTTCACTGTACCCACCACAGGGATCGAGCTCCGAATTTTAGTATTATAAATCATCTTTGACTTGTCGCTGAAATTACAATCCTTACCTTATGATAAAATGCAAAAAAAATTCTAATTTACTAAAACTCTAGAATAACTTATCTTATGCGTAGACATACAAAACACGTGAAATTTCGAACTGGCAAATTGAATTAACTTTTTTCCTCAATATGTAATCACGCATATACGCGGGGGGGGGGGATGACCGAGGAGGTTCGCCGAAGCCCCTTATTTTTTTTTTACTTTAAATTGGATGTTTGTGGATTTTATGGGAACAGACCATGCAATTGTTTAATCTATATTTAATGTAAGATTGATTCCAGATTTAATCTTATAGCACCTATTTTTTCTGAGGAGCATGCCTCTAGACCCTCTGTGGCTGTAGCATGCTTCGCACAACATGTGTTGTTTTTGATCTCACAAATTAGAACCCCCCCCTTTAAAACATTCTGCGTATGGGTCTGGTGATAATTCCTAATTACATTTTCTCAGTTACCTTTTT